CATGTGTTTTCACATTTTTGTGTGTGGGTTTTTTTTGTTTTGTTTTTTTTGGTGATGTTACCGTTTAAAATGGCCTTCAAGTATAGTGCTGGAGCGCTATCTGGGGTTCTTAAGCGCAAGAAGGCTGTCGTGTGACTTATGGTGAAAATCCTTGTGTTAGATAAGCTTCCTTTAGGCACCAGTTATAGTGCTGCTGGCTGTGAGTTCAATGTTACTGACTCAACAATATATATTAAATAAGGTGCCTTTAAACAGAAACACATATAAAATAAGATTACATGTTGATTGATTGAGATGCATGTTTTTACCAGAGGCTCCCAGGAACCTAACCCTGTGCTTTTCCTAGGAACTGTGATTCAGTTTTTGCTAATTCTGTGTTTATAGTCATGTTACGGAAAATACCATAATTACTGTGAATAATGAGACTCGACTGTCTCTCTCCTTCCAGACACTAATCAACTTCTCCAGGAAGGAGTCGCTCAAAACCTCCATTTCATCACACTTCCTTCCACATCGTTTCATCACCCAACTCACACCTTTCTTTACCATTTAGCATCCTCAGACCCCACGAGAGGAATCTGGTCAGACATCAGGGCCCTTGGGAACGAGGGGCTCCCTCAGGACTCTCAGCTACTTTCTGCGTGTTGGTGTCATATTTCCCTCTCTCCCTTCGCAGTTGACTTTCTCTGGACTTTTTGGTCTATATGAAAGGAGGCTGGCTGTCAACAGACATTGATTTTTACATCCTACCATCCAAAAAAACAAAGAGAGACTTTTAGAATCTCTTCTTGGTTCAGTACACCCTAAGGAAGGCTTACCTCCCAGGTTGGGCCAGGCAGCGCTACCCGGGACATTCAGTTGAGGCCAGTGTGCATGCATGGCACCGTGAAGTCGTTATTGTGGCTACAGGTCTGTGGGTAATGTCTAGAGAGGATCGACTGATGCAGTAGCCGCTACTCACAATGTGGTTATTCTCATTTAAATAAAGATGAACTAAAATACCTAAAACTCAAGTCTTCAGCTATACCGGTTACATTTCAAGTGCTCAATAGCCACACGTAGTTACTGGGACAGTGCAGAGAGAGCGCACTCTCATCATACAAATTTCTATTGCACAGTGCCGCTGTAGATGAAGTGGCTTTTCCCAGAAAAGGAGCGGGAGTGGGGGTAGGGAGGAGTGTTTGGGGACAGTTAAATCAGTAGGTTTCTCCTACATCTTCCCCACAATACTTGATAGAACTGGCCCAGTCCCCTTGGGGCAATTTCTTTCTCTGGTACTCAGGATATTTTTGTACTCTTGTGATCCTTTCCCCTTCAATCTTCCCCCACCCTTAGGTGACTCAACCATTCCTGTGGCCTTTAATAGCTACAGTTAATGACTCTCAAGACCCCTCTTCTAAGCTCCAGACTCACAGGCCTGTCCATGTAATCCCTCCTACTGAGTATGTCAAAGCCCACTTGGCATTAATATCTCACAGTGAATTCTTGGTCTACCCCCAGTCTTCTCCTCTTCCCATGTCCCCCATCTCAGTAAGTGGCATCTCTACTTGCCCAGTTTGTTTGCCAGAAGCCTTGGAAAAATCCTGAAGTCTTCCTTCATATCTCTCTCAACACCTCCCTGGTCCATTCAACACTCAAAATATTTCTCTACTATAGCCACATTTTTAAAAAACTTCTAATGCCACCATCTTAATGCCACATTCTCCTTCCACATCCCAAAGCTACTGTTTCTGCCCCAATATCATCTTTTTAAGGAATCCCTCTTCACCCCAGATCTAAATTCTACCTTTTAATGTCATCCCAGTTTACACTTTTGCTTTTCTCAAATATAATAGATTACTTGTTTGATGATATGTTTAATATCTAACCTTCCTTCTCTAGTTTATCAGAGCAGGAAACATGGCTATCTTCTTGTTCTCTGACCCTGTAATGCCTGGCACAGTGCTAGGCTAAGTGGGCTCACTAGCCCTTGCTAAGTATTTACCAAACTTTGGAAGACATGTTCGTGAGCTTTGTGATGTCCTCTTTTCACCTGCCTACCTATGGTCATGGATGTCTTTCAGGTCCTGTGTTTTATCTTCTCCTGGTCTCAGCTTCTTCACTCTAATGATGACTCCTAGTCAACATTATAAGCCTTGGCTCTTCTGAGAGAGGTGATCTCTTCTCTCAAAATTAGCCTCTCCTTCCTGTCTTCTTAGTTTTCTGAGGAGATTATGTTTTCTCAAAATTCCAACTCATGTCTCCTTCCTCCAAGATAGCCCCCAAGCCTGCACTGATCTCCCACCCAACCCCTGAGACTTTCGAGTCTTCTCTTTTGCCTTTCCCACACTCTTAGTCTATGAAAATAGCACCTCTTGGAGACCTGTAATGTACAGTCTGCCCAACCACCAGGGGCCTACACCCTTCCTGTCTCTGAGGTCTCACTTCTGCCCTTGTCTCATTTCCTAGAACTTTGAAGACCTTCCTAATTCATATCCCTACCCCCATTCTTCCTGCAGAAGGTCACTTCCTCAAATTGCAGAATTGTTCTGTTGAAAAGAATCTATAATCTCACCCTTCTGATTTTGTAAATGAAGAAACATAGGTACAGAAAGTGGCAGACTCGCGCTACACCCAAGGCCTCTTTCTTATACTTGCAGCCCCCACTGTGCTCAGAAAGCTTCGCGGCTTCCTCTCCTACATGTAAAAGACAAAACTCTTTGCTAGCCATCCAAATGAGACTGTAATCAGGAGCTTATCTACCTCTCTATTCTTTGAGCTCCTTACTTTCACCTCCTATGTAGGTTTGCTGGAGGATCTTTGTTCTTTTCATTTATCCCACCTACAACATCTTTCACCAGTTTTATCTTCTGTTATGGACCTTGTGTTTTGAACCCCAAAGCAGGCCTAATAGTGTACTTTCATATGTTTTGTTGTTGTATGACTAACTGAAACATTTAAATTAATTACTTTCCCCCATATTGAATGTAGCTAAATTTCCTTTAATAGAAGTCAATAAATATCCGCCACCATATTCCGAAGTTTGTACCAAAATGGAGAACATTGAGAAACATTCACTTGATGTACTCAGCTCTCAAAAAGCAATGATCTCTTGCCAGTGGTTGAGCACTGATCCGTGGAACAGGAGATCACATGCCCAGGTTTCTTATTTGATCCCCAGTAGAGAGCATGCAGAAGGCAGCTGACTCAAGGACTCTCATTGATGTTTCTATCTCTCTGTCCCTCTCCCTTCCTCTCTCTGAAATGAATAAAAACATATATATGTGTATATATATACATATATATATATATATACACATATATATATATTTAAAAACAGTAATTTCTTAACAGTTCGCAATTTCAGCCTTATGACTTGCTCACTTGAGAAACCCTGCATTTTATTTTCTGATCTCGAATGTGCCTTCCCAAAGCACACTTTGATCCTGATCTCCTCTGACTTGAAGATTGGTGGGTGGAGATTAGTGAGAAAGAGGAGAAATGTGGAAGTAACAGGGAGAAAAAGGTAGGCTTGAAGATACTAGAAGAGAATGAATTTTAAGTACAGTTTAAAATAATTACAAAGTCAAATGGCTTTATTAGAAAATGAGTATTTTTTGGCCCATAACTTGCTCACTGAGTACATTAACATTTATTATGGACTCAGCTCCACTCCCTTTTAATGTGATCTAAGAAAGGATTTTTAGAGAACTCTATAGAAATAAAATTTACTTTTTAAAAGATACAAATTAACTTGCAAATTCAGAGCAATAACATAAATAGCAAACATAACGTCTTAAATTAAGAGATTAGTTGCTTATCCACTGTTGATGTCTAGCTTTTATAGTTGGGAGATATCCCAGGATGTTATGTTAAGTTTTGAAGGCCTGTGTAGTCTTTAACTTGATCTTTAAAAACAACAGAATTTAAGTGAATGTCAATAAGAGCAGTGAATTATAAATATCCTCTCTCCCAGCATATTTGACCAAAGCTGTCAATAAACAGAATCGTATTTCCTAGCATTTCAGGCACGAATACTAATCTATGCATTTTAATTTATTGCTCTACTAGAGGACCTTAGGAGAACAGGAACAGTTTAGATATCTGTTGAGTATATTTAGAGTAAAACTGGACCCATGCACATTTCAGGAAATGAAATAAAACCCTTAATGTGTTTGCATTAAAATATTGTTTACTATATGGCTAGAGTAAATTTTTTTTTACCTAAAAATCCAAGTTATCCGAATTAACTACTACGCACAGCATTATTTAATCCTTCCCCTGACCCTCCCTCACATGTTAACTGGTATTTCCACGGCAAAATTCTTTCTTGCCACATAATACATATGTTTTCATTCCTTTCCCCCAAACAACCTAAAACCACTAAACTAAATAAAGTGGTAGAGTTTCAGCCCCACCGTGCAGCTGCTGTCCCGTCTCCGGTAGCCGGATAATAAAGGCTACGCTACAAGCCAAAGCAGAAGTTCTGCACTGGGAAGAGCTCTCTTTATCCTCGCCCCCAACCCAAATGATAAACCAAATTCGATAGGAGTGTAGCCCCTAAACTGGTCTCGCCGAGCTGGCCCCACTGACCAGGGAGCTGGGGTGTCTGTCCAGATGGGAAAAGGTGTGAAGGCGGATGAAAGGGAAACGCGTCTGAGATGTTACTGGTTTCAGGTCCTGGAGGAAGAGATGGGCTGTGAACTCTTCAGTGGGTGATGTCAGAGGAGAATATATTTCATCAAAAGGCCTGAGGGGTGACAAGCAATCGTACAAAGAAGCAACAGCAGCAGTAAGAGAACAACAAAACCCAGTCCCACCTCCTTGCCTGGCTTCAGGGCAGGGGCCGAGTAGAATCCTACTGTGAGGGAGCAAGATTGACCTTTTTCAACACTGTAAAACCCAGCCTTCAGAAACCGGTACCCCAAGTGTCACCCCAAGCAGGTGCAGGCATTTGTCAAAGCAAGACCGTGACATTGTACAGCTTTTACAGCTGCAGCGAGTGCTAAAGAATGGAGCACTTTTGTTCAAAAGCAACATTTATTTTTCACGAAGATAAGAGGCACATTACATTTGCTGTGAGGGGGAAAAGCTGCATGTTACCAATATGACAAAAACAGAAATTCTACCTTTGGAAGTGTTTTGCCCTCTAAGAACATATTGAATGAAAGGCATCATTTCGGGTGGATTTATTAGGGTTTGTTTTGAAATACAATTTGTACGGTGAGTTTTTTGCTCCTCTGATGGCGATGAAACAGATTTATTGGAAGTGCAATAGATAACAGACAACCAAAGGAGAAGTTTTAATAAACACGGAGGAAAGGAAAAGGAAAAGCGAGTGAATATGCCTGCTTACATTTCAGCTAATAAATAAGAACAGATAGGGCTTTTGGTTATTGCAGCCTGGGAGGTTTATTGAAAATTGGGTAGAACACTCATTTTTCCTACTCACAGACACGATGTAAGCCGAACAAGCTAACGTGATGTAACACGTTTTGATTTGGGTGCAGGGATCCGATGTTTTCATAGGAAACTTGCAAAGCGTCATGCAGGAGCAGAGTGAGTCCTGGTTATTAGTGTCTGTCTCAGCTACTGCTGATTGCACTCTGGGATTTTGGACAACCAAACAATCTCTATTTAATTTCCCCACTCACCCCTTGGACACATTTTTTAAGGTGGATCTTCAATAAGCATTGGCCTTTCATATCAAAGAGCTGAGAAGAAATGAGCTAAGGATAGTTGAGAATTTGGTCCTGGGTGCACCGTGCTTAAAATTCCAAGTATATTGTGGCCACTCATCTGACACGGGGACTTAACAAGCACCAGTCATATACCCTTCACTCAAATTGGTTTTAGTCAGTAGGGACCTGGACTCATGAAAGAAATCGGCTCTCTCTTTTTCTTTCAAGGCAGCAAGAAAAATGCAGTTCTCTCTGAGCAGCCCCTGAGCGATCTTGGTTTCAGTGTTGCTCTCTTAAGAGCCTTGCTTTGAAGAAAGATGAATCATTTCCTACTCCTGGAGTCAGTCTCCCTTCAAATAGACTGTGAGGAGCCAGCCAGAGAGGAAAAATCACTCTAAATACCAATGATAACCACCAACGCAGAAACAGTTTTCTAGCGGCGGGGCAGGGCCAAACTCGTGCTCCCACAGTCTGCAATGTGGTTTCTTAGAACAAGCTCCATAGATTTGCAGGAGAACTAGAGACCCCCAGATCTGATTTCACTTAGTTCAGAAATGGGGCTTCTGAGATGGTGAGTACATGATTAGGGATTTACATCAATAAATTTGGGTTTCACTAATACACAAAAGTTTTTAGGCTATAAACAATCCATGATGGCTTGTCAAATACAAAATGCCATTGTAAATCCATGTCTGTATCTCGAAGAGACAGGAACACAAAAGTGAAATACATAAAATTAATTAGCATAGTTTGGAGAGTTTGAATCCATTATTAAATATGGATCCTATCAAGTATTCTGTCCAATTTCCAGTTAGGTTAATACTTCAATGCTTAATTTTTTGACTTTCAGCTACCCAAATCTTTCAACGAACGGTATTCTGAAAGGCTCACACAGAGTCCCCAGGCCATTCTCCAAAGAAGTTACTTCTGAGGATGAGTTTTTGGAGAGAAACAATTAAAATTTCTGCTACAGCTTATAAATTGCCTCTTGTAGGATTATAATAATAAACCCTCTGAGAGATTTTTTTTGAGGCTGGTGTTAAATGAATTTGCATGCCTCAGCAAGATGCTCAAAAAGGAGACTTAATGACTTAATTTCCAAAGCACCTGTACTATTGTGGCATACTTTTGGAGACAGGTAATTATTGTCTACATAGGTAAGTATGTAGTGTATCTCATGAGAAAAAATGGTTTGTTTGTGCATTTTCTCCAGAAACCATATTTTTCCTTTTTTATATTTAAGATGCATACATAAGAAAAGCTCATCTGTTGGTTTTTAATATATAAGGTGTCTTCTTTAAAAGAGCAAGATCCAAAATTGTTTGGTGATTAAAAATTTAAAAATAAATTAATCTTCCGAATATTCCAAAGACATGTAGCATGTATTTAGTATGTCCCTTATTTTGTCAAAAGAGTTTAAGGATCTACATGACTCAACCTTATGTAATCTCTGGTGTACCTGGTTATATACTGAATGAACCATTTCACCTATTTACATGTAGACATGGATATATCCTCAGATGCTATTATTAAATGCAATCCTATATTCTTGGATATAGAAGTTGACGATGCACCTTTCTACTTGCCATGGCACTAACAAAGCGAGGCTGAAAGTCAGCAACCACTTGTATTCATTGCTTTGCAGGCTAGTAGGAAGTTCGGTTGCTGGTGGGAAAAGGGTGTCTTAACACACCCTCCTTAAGCTAAAGGATCTTTCATGCTTAATGCACGTGCACATTCCTTTATCGAGGTGGCCTGGAGCTGCAGATACAATCACATCGCTCATGGTGATCCAGCTGGATGTCAACGAGAGCCATGTACTTCGATCTGCCCCTCCTCCTGAAATGGCCAGGGTCAAACTTTAATACCTAGGGCAATAAACATATTTCCTGTTAGAAAGCCCTGAGTTCAACTGGACAGATACAACTTATTCTCTTTGTGACAGCTGGTTCTTAACCCTTTGAGAATCCCCTTTAGAATTCACACATGTAAATATTTTTATAATGATGAACTCCTTGAAGCAGAGGGGTCAACCAATCACAGAGTAATGCCTCCTGCATTGCCCACCTGCAGTACCAAGACGACTTCAGGTGTGCCAGCAGGTATTCACTGACAGCTTTCCAAGGGCCCGCTTTGTCCCAGGTGCCTGTCCTAAATATTGTCATAATGATTCTTATGCCAAAGCCTGTGTTATGGATAAATAACAGTACCGAGCATATTATTATTTCTGTAGACAACACAATAGATAAAGTCATGACACAATACGGCAGTATGGCTAAATTTTTGATTGATGTAAAACGTTTTGCCCTAATGAAGGTAATTGGCAGCCAGCCATAAATAAATGAAAATGTGTTCATGTTCTTACTTACATTGTAATATATAATACCTTTTATAATTCAAAACAGATCAGGCGCCACTAAAATCTTTGTACATTAATATTTGTGTATTGATACAGCATTTCTTAAATTAATAAAGTATATTCTTAAATTTTTAAATTAATAAGTTTGAAAATAACTTTTTTAAATTAGTAAGTTTAAATAGAAGCTAACTTTTCCTCCTGCTGTGGCACTCATTGAAGTAAAATGTTAGTTATCACATCACACATACTTGGAAAATTATATGCTTGTTATATATACTATATAGTCAGTTTAATTGTTTCTCTTCTTTATGTTCTTCGGTTCCCGTTAGCCTTCACTTTTGATTTTGTTCTGTTTTCCCCTGAGACTCTAAACTCTGTCATAGTCCACCATACAATTATGTGGCATCTTACAATTTTCAAAGAATTTGCACAGATGGACTATTTATTTTGCCCTCAGACAAACCTCATCACATACTAGAGGAGGGGTCCATCTTTATTCCCATTTTATAGATTAGAGAACAGAGTCTTTAGAGAAGGCTTAAGGGTCTTCTGGGAACTTAGACCTGGGAGCAGAGCTTTCTCCTCTGGGTTCTTAGAACACTCTGACCCGATGCCTCTCCAGTGTGCCTGTGATTCCCTTTTGTGACTCCTCAGGTAGACCAGACCCATCTGTGTCATGAATGACACCGTGACAAGCAACTTTGTAAATATTAAATTATTTGGACTTTATTGTAGCACTATTAGGTACTATTAAGTACTTAACTCATTTTGCTCATAGATAAGAAAACAGAAATTACGTTATTTGCCCAAAGTCACAATGCTAGTCATTGGTAGAATCAGAATTTGACTCCATGTAGACCAGCTCATGCCCTTACCCATGAAATTGAAACTCTGTATAGCTCTGCAGCCTGCTGGCAATATAGGAGCTGCTCAAGAAACCTCCTGGGTGAAGGTGGTGGGAGATGCTCTCAATGCAGGAGGCAGCGTATATGCACAATTCTTCTTTCCTCCTCTGTTCTACCTCCAACAGACACAGGGGACAGAACAAACAGGCCAGGAGCTAAAGCAGAGGCCAGAAGAGTGGCTCACGCTTTTGACCACTTTTAATCCCTTCACATTTTTGAAATAAAATTTAAAGTACTGAGAGAAGAGTTATGCTGACATTTGCCCACTGCTCCCATGTTCTCTCCCGTTGGGTAAGTATAGAAAAGAAAATATTTGCTTCTCCGTGAAAAATTAGCAAAAGAAGCAATGGTTGAAGAAGGTATTACTTACCTTCTGGGGTATTCAGAGCCCTGCCCATGATGGAGAAGAAAGCCCTACTATGCCATATTTGCTCAGAGTGCCTAAGACGGGGCTGGAGGTTGGAGTCCTACAGCTTTGCCAAGAGCTTCTCCAGTACAAATTAGCTGCTGTTGCCCAGGACTGTCTGCATGTAAACAGACTTGGGGGCTGGCAGATGCAGGGGAGAGAAATGATTTCTAAGATGAGCATAAGATAAATGTTCTCTGTTAAAAAAGGGCCATTATGAAGGCCTAGGAAGTTGCGATGAGCGGCACCTATAAAATCGGCGCTCTGTCCATTTGCTCTCTCATTTAATGGCAAACAAAAGAGCGTGCTCTGGGATGAGAGCAGGCCCTGGGCAGTTTTTCCTAATTCGTCTCCTGATTGTTCGGGGATTTTCCCTGTGCTTTATATTAAACGACACAAGCAAAGTATATATGTGTTTTGCTGATAAGAAGAGAAAAATGAATTGGCAGACACTTTCCCAGACAAGACAGGAAAGCACTGTTTGGACAAAGTGGAAATTGGACTGCTTTGCTGGCTGATCAAAGCACCAATGTTCAAAGCTTTCAGACCATATAATAGTCTTAAGTTCAGGTACACAGCACTCAAAGGAGGAAGAGAGCAAAGCTGTTCTGAGAGGCGGTGGAAAGTTTAAAGAAAAATGAAAAGCCTTTATCTGAGAAAGCCAACTGGCTAGTTACGGGTTATCTGGTCACCATTAAAGGGAAGGAAGCATTGAATTAATTACAGCCACTGCTGGACACCTGTTAATAGGAACCATCACACAATGATTTCCTATTTTCCGAGCTCTGATTCACAGCTGCAAGCACACACACTGAAATAAAAATCCACTGAAGAGCAGCCAGCCATTTCTTATCACCTATGGGTGAAAGTAGAAATCTCGACTCCTCTTCACCACCTGAAAAACCACGTGACGCCAGAGGACGTTGCCTTTTGCTAACTGGAGGATGACAGTGCCAGTTGGTAGCTTTCCTACCCTTGCACAAAGCCAGAAATGCTCGGTTTGCAAATTACCGTATCACAGAAGATATTTAACAGCAGTGCCAGTAAACCACTGAATGAATCACTGCCGCAAGGCTGTTACACTAATAAAACAATACTAGGCAGAAAGCGATCTGCTGAGTAGGATACTTGTTTATTGGGAATATAAAAAAGGCTGTTACGGCCGTGTAACAGTCTCAAATTACTGGCTGACACAGGAACACAATACACATCGCAGGACAAATGCAGTGTATAAACTGGAATCATTAAGAGTTTATTTAAGCCCTGGCCGGCTGCTCAGTGGTTAGAGCGTTGGCCCGAGGTCTGAAGTGTTATGGGCTTGATTCTAGCCAAGGGCATGTACCTCGGTTGCAGGCTCGATCCTCCTGGCCCCAGTCAGGGCGTGAGCAGGAGGCAACCAATCCATGTGTCTCTCACATCGATGCTTCTCTCTGTCTCTCTCTCTCTTCTCCCTTCTATTCTCTCTGAAAAGCAATGGGAAAAATATCCTCCAGTGAGGATTAAAAAAAAAAAAAGAGTTTATTTAAGATTCTACTCACCTTCTAAAGCAGACACTGTTCAGTATGCATATAGTTTCTTATTTTAAGAAATAAAGTACTTCTTATTTTTGCCTCCATTTTTTCTTTCATGCTTATAGACTATATGAAAAAATGTGCATAAAGTTAAGATTTTAAGGGCCAGTGGTCAATTATTCTGAAAGCTAAGCGACTACAAGAAAAAATACTTTGAGAAGGGAAAACCTTGTTTTCTACCTGGGTAACTGCTCAGCTTGCAGGCAATGGTGGCCAGCAGAGGCGGGCCTTGTAATGGAAGAACTTACACCAAGTCACAAGACGCAGCACTTAATAAAAAAGACACAAGTGACGAAAAGTTCAGCAACATTTTGTTGACAAATACAGTTTGAAGTTGACCACAGGCTGGGGTTACAGTGAGGGTCTATAAAACTCTCATGAATTTTGATACCTGTGGACATTTACTTCTAATAGTTTTCTGTGAGCACACTGAGGTTACTGCAGGGTATATTTAGGTGCAATCCCTACCTTTAAAAAACTAAATAGTCCAATGATTTGACAGTGCCTTGGTGAATTAGTGACTACGTGTGCAGCCTTTCCACTGCAGAAAGCATGATGAAAGCCTAGAAGGGCACCACATTTCAGAGCTTGGCATTAGGGCCGAGAATCATTCATGACACAGATGGGTTTCGTCTGCCTGAGGAGCATCCTGCCCCAAGACAGGCTTGCTGACCTTTGGCAGGAAGGCCCAGTGTGAAGCTAGATCTGGAGGGGAAAGAGTGGGCACATTCTGTAGTACTTCAGTAGAGTCCATTCTCTCAGTAGGTGAATTACCAGGGCTGTCAGAACTGAGGAAGCCAGAACAGGCTCTCAGAAAACTCCACTCACATCTGTTTTGTGCTTTATAGGCTTGAGATGCTTTTGTCCACCCAGTGTCCCCAGGAGGTAAGTAGCCCGGGTGTCATTACCGATGAGTGAATTAACTTCTCGATCAGCATTAACTAGTCCAGGCCATATCTTTACTCATTCACATTTACCTATCACTTCGACCACCAATTTGTTTATGTACCTTACACAATTCTGGTAAGATGAAATTTGGGGGCTAGGAAAGAGTGTAACAGGTAACAGATACCATGTCATTTCAGGTCCGCCTGGGAACTCAACATTGAGGGTTGTGAGGTAACCAGAGGCCCTGGGAGGTTTTGTGTGGCTGGCCCTAGGTTGCCTCCCACGAGGCAGGGCTGGAACCAGAATCCACATCTTCTGCCTTCAGGTCATACAGTTTTCGGCTCCATTGACTGGCTCTCAGAGGAAAACATAGAAACAGCCTGAAAAAGGGCTGTCTTGTGGTTTCCATCAAAGAGGGAGAGAGGGAAAGGAGGAAAGGGTCAGGGGGACTCTCTACGAGCTCTAGAAATGATAGTTCCAGAGAAAGAATAGGCTAGAGATTTCCTAGACTTTTGTTATTAGTTTTATCATAACCTGAAATCTCTCTGCCTTTACCATAGAGTAGAAACTCTGGGGAAAAAAAAAGTTTTTCTGTCTTCTTGGTCTTAATTTACAATTTTAGCTAAATTTGTTTCAATAACAAATACTTAAAGCATATAAAAACCAAAAGTACTATTCTTTTAGCTCAAGCCTGAAGCTCAAGATTCTGTTACCTCTAATTAATCTTCTGTTTCACATATAGATATCTGTCTATATCACGAACTCTTAAACTGTAGTAGGAAGCAATTTTTAATATAAAATTCTACATTAAAATAAAAAGAATCCTCTAAAGTCATTGCTAATTCTGTGCCCAGACAAGAATGATTCCAGATGTTGTAACTGNATTTTTAATATAAAATTCTACATTAAAATAAAAAGAATCCTCTAAAGTCACTGCTAATTCTGTGCCCAGACAAGAATGATTCCAGATGTTGTAACTGTGTCAGAAACAGGCTTGTGTACTCAATATCGTTGCTATTAGCCATGTGTGGTTATTTACATTAAGGTTAGTTAAAGGTAAATAAAATTAAAAATTCAGTTTCTTATGTGTGTTACATACATTTCAAGAGCCCCATAACCACATGTTGCTAGTGTTACCATATCAGACAGTGTAGGTCTGAAACAGTCCCATCACGGCAGTAAGTTCTAGTGTAGGGGTTCATCCACTTGGTGACAAGATTGTGAGGAAAGCATGAAAAAAATTAATTTCTATCTTTCTCTTTCTGCTGCTTCCTACATTGTGAACTGCGGACTGAGTGGACATCGGAGACCAAATGATGAAAAGCAGTAAATATTAATGAAAAAGCTCATCGTATTTCTAGGGAATATCCTATTTCTTTGTTACATGTTATCAAGGGAAGAAGAGATCTGATATATAGCATCTTTTAACTGTCTACACAGTTCATTTTCTGGAAACTTCCCTATTTAAAAATCACTACCTAAGGTAACTTTTATATTCTATATATTCCAAGAGGTGTTGAATGGTTGTTAGGAAAAAGAAAAAATACTTTAACTGGATCCCTACAAACTTTTGAGAACAGAAAATAACTAAGAGGCTAACAGTGAATTGCACACGAGGAAGACTAAACCCCTACGGGAGAAACAGCACAGCCTGTGAACAAAGCAACGATACTGGCTCATTAGGAGCTCTGTAATGTCTCGATTTTATGCCTTGAATGCTGCCCATTGAAGTATCTGTGAAGAGTCACACAGGCCTGTTTATGTNTGCCCACTGAAGTATCTGTGGAGAGTCACACAGGCCTGTTTATGCGACGAGTTCTAGTCAGCCTTAGGGGTGCTCGTCTCTCGCAGAAACTCATTTCACATCTCAACAGTTATTAGCAGGAGCTGAGGAACCTGGGCCTTCGCTTTTCTGAGCCAGGGATACAGACACAGAAGTAACTGAATAAAGGGCAGTGCTTTTCCCTTAGGAGCCCAGCTCCAGCAACCCCCATGCCTGGAACTGGAACAAGCCTCCTGCTCCTTTCCTCAGGGCACTGGGCAGGGTGATCACCCGTGACACATTTCAAGGGTATTTTAGGAGTTTGGGGGAAATACACCAGGCGTGTCTGCTCCAGGTTTGCAGTTACTGACTGAGTGATGGACACTGCCTTGCCCCTTTGTCCAGCACTTGGCAGAGTGATTCTGCGTAGAGCTCTGCAGGCTCCTAAGAATGAAAATGTTATGACACGTGCTTCAAAGAGACGCTTTAGACAGCAGCTTCAAAGATGCCAACATTTTCGACGTGTTTGTGTGACTGAACAAAGAGATCAAGGGCGTCCCCTTCTAGATATTGTTTACAGGAATTTGCAGGTAACAGCTATTGTGTACAGAGACAAGAAAGGAACTACAAAACGGTCCCTGTTTGGGAGGCGAGAGTCCTTTTGAGTGTATATTTAACTCTGCCATTTCCGAAATAAAGAATTTAAAAAAATCCAGCTGTAACTTGTATCTGAGCACAGAGTCACGATGAAAATAAAGCACTCTCCAAAACTTCAAAGGCTGGACTCGAATGCTTTTCCTTCCAGTTATGACCAGGTAGAAATTTTGTCGCAGCCTAGATTATTTTAATTCTATCCTGATTATTGCATTCTGCATTCATCTTTAGGTTATAATTCAACAGTACAAAATTCAGGTTCTTGAACTCAAGAACACTATCCAATCTAGAGTTCATCAGGTCATACAAAAATAAAACACAATGAACACAGACGATAGCGTTCTCTGGCTATGACGACTTTTCTTTCCTTTGAAAACTGTGCGGGTGGAGTAAGATATTCTTGTGGGTAAGAGCGTATGGTCTATGCAGGTCGAAAATAATGTGTTTTCCCTGTCTAAGGTAAGTGTGGTCAGTGCCCATGGATTCCTGCATTTCTCAAGTGGAAAATGCCACTAATGACGTATCCATTTCCATTTCCATTTAGCATGGGAGTTACCTCCTAACTTACTATTATTGTTTTATTGTTTCCACTCTCTCTTTTTTGTTTTGGTGGATACTGATAAAAAAACAACTCAAACAATAATTCCTAACAGTAATGTTTGCTTCACATTTTAGTTTATATTTTTAAAACATATTTCTGTTTGATGTTTCATATCTTAAAAAACACATTTCATATGCAATATATTATTTGATCCCTAGAACCACCCTGTAAGGGCTTATCTGATATACTTTTAAAAATCTTTTCTACTTTATTTTTATTGTTGAAACTGTTACAGATACCCCATCCCCCCCTTCGCCCACCTC